TTTCAAACATTAGTTTGTTACAAAAAGGGTAAAGGAGGACGAAGAAATTTTGGTGAACAAGTGGTTTGGTATCCAGGGAATAGGAAGAGAAAATGCGTTTTTTTCTTTTTCTTTTTTTAGCATCTTTACTTTTCAAGAAGATATAAGTTCTTTTTTTCACTTGGAAAAAGAAACCTAGTATATATATTGTATTAAGTTGTATAATGATTTACTTGTTAACAACTCTCAACTCATTTCTTTCCTCTCAAACATGTTTTTCCTTTGCTTCCCTTCTCCGCTTCTCCTTTCCTTTCTTTCAAGTTTCACTATTTCCCTCCTTGCTTTTCTCTTCCTTTCTTCCAACGAAACGGGTCTTAACCTGACCATATGTTGAAGGAGAACAGAATGGTTTTTTGAGAATCTTATGTATGCAACAAGTACACAATCAAATTCCTCTTCTTCATACTCAATCTTGTTATATCTCACTTTAGAAGGTCAATTACTCGAAACATCCATTTGTTTACTAATAGAGGAATAAATACAATAATGTCCTTAGCATAATTTCAATCCAAATTTTGAGACTACTATTTAATTGATTATTAACATCTCAAACTTTCAAAAACTATGGACAATTGATTTCATATGAATATCAAAATTCATCATTTGAATATTCCAGTCAAAGTTATGATGCAGAATTTCAACAATTAATTAGTCAAAAGTCTTAAAGCCAAATTGTTGGCGTTTCCACTAATATTAACTGTTGAGACTTTACTCAATTGAAACCAGTGAAGCTATCCCAATCAAAACAACTGTAAAGTGCAAACAAGTTGTCAAATTTGAAATGTAAAGCTTTGAATTGATCAGCTTAAAATTAAGCTACTCCCTTCAATGAGTTCTTCAAGCAGAATTCAACCAAATCCAAAGTTGTAAGCTGCGGCTAATTGAAAGCAGTAAAACATAACGTGTAGAAATACTATTCCCCTGCTCCTACATTGATAACCAGCATTACAAAACAGATACACGCGTTGGAATTGATTATACCATTTTGATTTATCAATCTAATAATCAACTGATTTTTATGCTTTTAGTGATGGTGGGTTCTAAAAGCCCCATTTTCTTTGGTCCAAAGTGAATTTATTCTATTGGGCCGGCAGAGCTGAGTTGAATTATGAAGCTGTACTCCGTTGGTAATTTGGTTTCAATAATTTGCACTGCATTGAGTTACGAACCACTGTTGAGTTGGTTTCAATGGTAAAACTCCACAACTTCCATTTCCTTGCTTTGCTATAATAGAAGAAAATCCAGATTGTCTCTTTCAAACTAAAGAGTGAAAAATTAGGCAAAGAAAGCCATTGTTAATGATCGTTAGTGTTCTTCAAATACAGAATTAATCCACCAAATTCAAAGTTTTCGACCCATGACTGACACGGAGCAATTAGGCCACTTGACATTGTTAGGAACCTTCACTTTAAGCACCGGATTGTACTCGAAAAAGTTGGCTGGCCGGAGCTCAAATCCGCTGCTTAATGTTGGCATCAAAGGGAAATCTTCTTGGTAAGGTACATGATGAAAACCCAGTGTGTACCATAATACAATGTCCTTGTTCTCTATTTTCCTATTCCTGTAAAACAATTAAAACAATAATCAACATTATAACAAGGAATAAGGGTAAAATAAGGCCTCGAACCACAATAAAAATAACTTTTAATAAGATTATACCTGCTGCTCCATGTAGCTAAAGTGTCATCGCCTCTGCTTTGATCAGTATATAATCCCCCTGCCCATTTTTCAGATCTGTTATATGGTGTAACCCACACATTGTACTTGGTGAAGGCTGCCCGTATCTGTGAATAATCGTCGTCTGTTAAAAGGGAACCAGTAACTGATCCTGGGATCAGACGGTAGCCAACAAGGTTACCCATTTTAGTTTTCTTGTTAGGATTCACAACTAAGAGATCAGCCGACTCCAAGCCAAGTTTAATTTTTGCATCTGACTCAGTCTTAGCTGTCTCACTGACAACCTTCCAATAACTTTTTCTTGGTGAGCTTTGGTCAGTCACTCTGGTTGTTTTCAATTTGGACTTGACAAAGGAATTGGAATCACCATCCACATCAAGATCAAGGTAGTAGGTGAGGAAATGATCATGGTGTGCACCCAATGTGTTTTCTGCCAATAATTTGCCATAGACTTCCTCATTTATTTGGTCTTTGTGGGTGTATTTTGATCCCCTTACTTCTAGTAATCCAGTTAGTCCAACCTGTTAAGAATGATCATTTCAGAGAAAATCAATAGTATTAATTGCTTTTCAAAAAAAAAATTAATAGAATTAATGCACCTAAAAATGCTTCATGGTTTATTCAAAAAAAAAAATGCTTCATGGCATTTGTGAGGAGTAAAGTAACTAATTAAGGTGACTTTACCGTGACTTTGATGGATCCAATCCGCTTGAATTCCCAGTCATTTATGTAGTCATAGTTGCCCACAGTTGATACCATCCTAACTACCAGGCTCACTTCTGGTCTAACCTCTGTTATCTGCAAACAAAACCATTAAATGTCCACTCCAATAAACCTTCCAAATCTTCACCTAAAGTTACATTACAAACCAGCAAGACCTTAATGAAAAGTTGGCCTACCAATGCTTCCGGAATCATAGTCTCAGTGTGTCGCCACATTACATCTCCAGCATTTCGTTCAAAGATGCAGAAAACATTAGGCATCTCAATCGGCATCCCATCCTGCCCAGCAACAAATGCTCCCATGAAAACTGCATTGGCCGGGCAGTCTCTAAGCGGTTCGAGAGGCACTGCACATAGACCATATCCATATTCCCCGGCATCAAAAAATGTTCTAAAGTACCATTCTTCAGTTAAATCCATGTACGGAACAAAGAGCTCTGATAGATATCCTCTATACATCACCCTACGAAAGTTTTGCCTCTCAATGTCATATATCGATGCTAGAGATATGATTGGACCTACCCGAGCATCGAAACTCAGATGAAAATCCCAAGTAGCCCACCTGATTAATATCACAAATGGACAATAATGTTAAATGAAATCAAACCAAGGAAACTTATACAAACTTACTAGGTAAAAGTTAAAGAAAATTGATAGCTGAACACGCAGACAGAAAGTCCACCAGTCATTCCTAGTCTAGAAGTCCACCAGTCATTCCAAGAGTGTGTTTATAAGATATTTTATTTCCTTCCTATTTTTTGATACTACTATTATCCTTATTATTAATATTTGCGTCTATTCAGTAATGAGGTCAGACCGCATTTCTACTTGGCTAATTTCCAACGACGATAAAGACAGGAACAGAGAAATAAATAGTAATGGCGGCCCTCATTACTGTACTTACCTAACTCTGTTCCCAGCAATGGTGAAACTAGGCCCGTCTGGCTGCACAACCGTGATTCCTTTCAACTGTGGTCCGAAAGGGGCCCTTTGCTCCGATTCTCTGTAATCCGTCCCAGCAGCCTTTGGCACAGGGATCATGAATCTATCCTGAAAGTGTATAATCTTCATTTCTTCGAGATCGACTGTCACGGTGATGGCCTCTATCGGCCTCATGTACAAATTAACTGTCCCATCCAGATAATAACACATCACCTTAACTATCCTTCTATTCTTTTTCTCCTCCCCAAACCATCCTACAGTAAAACTTCCGCACACGACCTCCTCAATCTTGAGCCCTCTCTTACTTATGGACTCCAAAAACGGTGCAGACTTAAACGGCAGCTGGTTTGCAGCTGTTTGTTCTTCAAAAGTGAGTAAAGGGTATCCATAACCATCGTAAATTCGATCAGAAATGATTCCGAAACTTGATAAATCAACGATGATTTCATGAGTCTGATGGTTTATACGCGCAATGACCAAGGCTTGGCGAGGCGGGGGTGTGGTGGAAGAGTTTTCTAGCCATGAGATGACAACCTGTTTATTTGGCTCTTCTAAGCCTACGTATTGAAAGGTTAAGTTGTGGCTGGAGCTGGGGTACGATCGGTTAACAATGGATTGAACCTGGATGAACTCGTTTGGAGTCAAAGAGTCTAGAGGGTGTTGAAGTTGGTGGGACAAGGGAATAATGGAGAGGGTGAGGAAGGGAAAGAAGAGCAAGATTTTGAAGGAATGAGCCATTAGTTTTTCCCCGGTGCTGGATACCTAATGCCTAGTGATCTTTATATCCAATGAGTTTTACCAAGAACGAAAGGTCATTCTCTAGATTCCGCTTATATCATTATATTTTTTGTGCACTTTTGGAGTTAGATAAGACATTATTTTGTTTGGTACGGGCCACGTAATATCCATTACTATTTAATGATATACTTTGCATTAGGGAACTTAATTTTAAATGCAGCAATGACCTTAACTGACAAAAATAATGTTGAGATTGTAATTGGATAGAGAGAAAGTGGAAATAGTTTAATAATTTGAAATAGTTTATTCCATACTTAAATCATGGAAAGACTACTATTTTCTATGGCAGATAGGACCAGTAATTTGTCCAGAACCATTTATGACCAGCTCTAGGACCGGTGCTACTACAAATTGTGCTTAAATACACCCATCCCTAATTTTCATTTTATTTTTTAAAAATAAAAAAAACCCCAAAATGTGCGTTGACCTGATTTTTGTAGTTTATCTTCCGGTAATTACAAGATCAAGCCCATGTAAATTAAAGAGCCCAAATAGGAGCCTAGGGCCCAAAAGAGAGCCAGGCCTTTTTTTTCTTTTTTCTGGAGCCTTCTCTGAAGTCTTAACCACTATGTTGTAAAAAAGAAAATATAAGTGCCAAGATAAATTAACTGATATTGAATAAAAAAAAAACCAATTTAACACATAATATTTCCTTTGTTCCATTTTTTCTTTAAACTATATTATGTCTCAATTTATTTTTTGTTAACCATTAATAGATAAATTACTTTATCTTTTTTGATAAAAAATTAAGATGAAATTAAACAAGTATAAAAACTGATTAAACTATGGGTCCAAAAAGAATTGGTTAGTAGAAAACTCGACTCTCGAAAGGACTGCCACTCTCTAGGAAGCTCTAGAAACGTAAGGCAAGCTTCTTTTGTATTATGCTTGGTGCGTAAGCGGAGGGTGTCTTGCCCATCTCTCTCTCAACTCTTCTCCCCTCTTCCACTTTCTGCATTCTTTGCCATCCTCTCCTTTCTCTCTACCAAGAACTCAAAAAGAAGCATTCTCCAAAGGCCAAATTTTGCTTGTACTACTGTTTTGCGGTGGCTTTCGACAGGTTTGCATTTCTCTTTACTCACTCTTCTCGCATTATCGATTATATAAAACTCCCTCTGTTTTTTCTTTTCTTTTTTACATTTTGTCTTTCATTTTCTATTTCAATGCAGCATTGGGATTATCAGTTCTTGGCTTCTTGATTTCTGTTACTTTGAATGTCCACGAAGAAATAATGTAGTTTCTTGAACTGGGTTGGTTTTGGTTTTAATATTATGTTGCTAAAGTTGACGATCTTTTAGTGTCCACTTATGGTTTTGCATTGGAAATTTGAGAACTAGGTTGTCCATCAGTTTGTTCTTGATGGCTGAAGCTTTCAGTTTTATGATCATATTTAGATGGTTATTAACTATTTAGGCAATTTGACTGTTGGGTTTCTTTAATTTCAACGATTAGTCTGAAAGTGTAGAAGTTAACCCTGTGAATTGGTAAAGAAAGATACAACCGTTTGGTAAGGAGAGACGCAGCCGTTCTTTTTCTTTTTCTACCTTTTTGGGTGAATTTATGTTTTGTGTTCGTGGTGTATTTTTGTGTTTTTAGTTTAGAAATCTCAGGCTTGCTAAATGTTGTCTGTTAGTTTGGAATATTAGTTCATTTGAAGTGTTTTTGAAAAGACCTACATGGATGATTGCTTGTCTAATTCCATAGTCTAGATATCCGGCATATTTTGAGGCTAAAATGGTATTCTAATTGTTCTTGAAATAGGCTTGATGTTTACTAGACACTGAGATTGGATATTACCTTCTCATTTTGTGAGTTGCTAGGGTTATTCAATGATCTTTTTAATTTTGGGGGTTAAATTGTTTTTCATTTTTAATGAAAGTTAATGGTTATGTTTTTAAACTGGGTAGAACACTTATAATAGTTAATTTGACAAAACTGTTTTGAGGCCATCTATGGTTCATCAATCTGCCAAATTGAGTTTTTATAAATTGAAATGAAAGATATAGTGGTGGCATTGTAGTTAAACATGCAAAAGGACTGAAAAGAAGTCTCAATTTTTATTTTTTTTTAAGTTCTTGAGGAATTATCTTTCAGATCAGAGAAAAATGCTCAAATTCTAATTTCAACTTCTCATTTTTGTATTTTACAAGTTGTGTACAATTGTCAAGCTCTTTTTTGTTTGATCATAAGTATATCGATAAATTTCCATTGTTGTTTAATTGTTTTGTCGAAAGGCAGGAATGGCTGAACCAGCATACACTGTGGCATCTGACAGTGAAACAACAGGGGAGGAGAAATCTTCATCTGCCTTTCCAGAAATTGCAATTGGAGTTGATATTGGAACATCACAATGCAGTGTCGCTATCTGGAATGGTTCACAAGTGGAGCTTCTCAAGAATACTAGGAACCAGAAGTTGATGCGGTCATATGTCACTTTCAAAGATGAGATTCCTTCAGGTGGAGTGAGCAATCAACTTTCCCATGAACATGAATTACTATCCGGGGCTGCTATCTTTAACATGAAACGTCTAATTGGACGAGTTGACACTGATCCAGTTGTTCATGCAAGCAAAAACCTTCCTTTTCTAGTTCAGACTTTGGACATTGGTGTTCGTCCATTAATCGCAGCCTTGGTGAACAATGTTTGGAGATCCACCACACCTGAAGAAGTCCTTGCAATATTTCTGGTGGAATTAAGAGTCATGGCTGAAGGTCAATTGAAGTGGCCCATAAGAAATGTTGTTTTGTCCATCCCAGTTTCATTCAGTCGTTTCCAATTGACTCGAATTTATCGAGCTTGTGCAATGGCTGGTCTTCATGTTCTTAGATTGATGCCTGAACCAACTGCTGTGGCATTACTCTATGCACAGCAGCAGCAACAGATGATACATGACAACATGGGCAGTGGAAGTGAAAAGATTGCTCTCATTTTCAATATGGGTGCAGGGTATTGTGATGTTGCTGTAACAGCTACAGCTGGAGGAGTTTCACAGATAAAAGCTTTAGCTGGAAGTGCAACTGGAGGAGAAGACCTTCTTCAGAACATGATGCGCCATCTCTTGCCGGATTCAGAGAACCTCTTCTTAGGGCACGGAATTAATGAGATCAAATTAATGGGATTACTTCGTGTTGCAACTCAGGATGCCATCCACAAGCTCTCTTCCCAAGACAATGTCCAAATTGATGTAGATTTGGGTAATGGGTCAAGAATATGTAGGGTGGTGAACCGGGAGGAATTTGAAGAAGTAAACAGGAACATATTTGAGAAGTGTGAGAGTCTCATAATCCAGTGCTTACATGATGCAAAGGTAGAGGTAGATGATTTGACTGATGTAATAGTTGTGGGTGGCTGTTCATATATTCCAAAAATAAGAGATCTTGTCAAGCATGTATGTAAAATAGAAGTTTACAAAGGTATGAACCCTCTAGAAGCAGCAGTCTGTGGGGCAGCGCTAGAAGCAGCAGTGGCATCAGGTATCAGTGATCCTTTTGGCAGCCTGGACTTGTTAACCATTCAAGCCACACCTCTTGGAATCGGGATACGAGCTAATGGGGATAGATTTGTGCCTATTATACCTGGAAACACAACAATGCCAGCTCGGAAAGAACTGATCTTCACAACTGTTAATGATAACCAGACTGAGGTATTGATTGTTGTCTATGAAGGTGAAACGGAGAAGGCAGAAGAGAATCATCTGCTGGGCTATTTCAAGATAATGGGAATTCCTCCAGCACCTAAAGGAGTTCCAGAGATAAATGTTTGCATGGACATTGATGCATCAAATGTGCTGAGAGTTTTGGCTGGGGTCATACTGCCAGGTTCTCAACAACCTGCAGTTCCTGTAATGGAAGTAAGGATGCCAACTGTTGACGATGGGCATGGTTGGTGTGCTGAAGCTCTGCATAGATCATACGGCTCTACTCTAGACTTAGTGACAGTACAGAAGAAGGTATAATATGAGGCTTAAATGCCAGCTCTTGTTGCTTGTTTGATTTGAATGTTATGTTTTTTCGCCCAGAGAAAATCAGTGTCTGCAACAACAGTTGTATAATGTGTTTTTCATACTTGCATTAATGTCGACTGTTGTAATGAAATAAAGCAACTAAAAGCTACTTTGGTGCTATGTTTCATAAAATCAAAGTTGTGTCTTGAAATTGATAGGAATGTGTGGCCAGGGAGTAGAAATCAACTTTTCTGATTCACTCTTGTGCGAGGATACTGAGAGTATCATTCTCATGAACAGAAGTTAACAAGCAATATCAAGAGAATGGTCTCTCTTTATTGAGCAAAAAAAAAAAACACAGAGCGGCTCAGAAATGCTGCTTGAAGAGTATTAGTAATCACTTTCAAAAAAACAGAGCAGCTGGATTCTCCAAAATCATCCTCCAATCTAATTAAGGAATAATCGTGACTATTTCTTCCAAAAAGGAATCAATACTTTATGCTGGAACATGTTTCATCTTTAACCTTGCCAGGTGTATCTGATAAACCCCAATGAATATTAGAAATCTTCACTCCAGACTTACTACTTTTCTTAACATTGCACTAAAAGGACCATGGTTTCGGACCTAACATTTTCCTGTTCACTCATTTCAACCTTTCAAGAATTTAATGGGCTACCAATGCAGTGGATGATTTGGCTAGAAAAAGGAAAGGAAATGCAATGAGCTGAGGTGGCAGAAACCTTTTTTCTGTTCAACTTTTGAAAAAGTTTCGCCATCTGGACGTAACAGCTCAACCCTGCATGTGTACATTGCATGGGATACAATCCATTTAGATACACAGTTCTTTTACGTTCTAGTAACTCAAAAGGAGCTAGGAACAAGTGCTTGTCAATTCAAACACAACAGCTAAGTGAGTAGTTTTCTTCCTGAGTTCCTTTCTTTTTTTTCTTTCTTTTTTTTTTTTTTGTTGCCAATGATGGTAATTTATTCTCAAGGGTGGCCCTCATCTTTCTGAATTTGGGATGCAGATTTTTTTATTATTAGACATTTAGGAGAGTTTACATTTTGATACCTTCACTTTGGTTTTTTATGTTAGCTTCATAGAAGCTGCTGTTTGATTGTTGAAAATGACATGGCATTTTGATTTTGCGGTTTCAGTTCATTATCATTCATCGGATTTTCATTTTTTTTTTCTTCCTTTTCAACCCCTCAGCTTACATATAAAGGGATTTTTTGGGTTCAGACTACACCACATTATATTTCTTTTATGTTTCTTCCATATCTTACTTTTTTTATATTCTGTTTATGTTGATTAGACAATCTGGAGAAGATGGCCCCCGCATTTGCAATGCGTTTCATGATCTTTGCAATTCTTGCTTTTCACCCTTTTAACAGTCTTTGGTGAGTAAGTTTTCTCGTTATTCTCTGTGGTATTATATTTTCTTCCTACATTCCACTGAGATATCTTCGTTTTTCTTTTTCAGGTGGTGATACTGGCATCAACTACGGAAGAAATGGAGACAATCTGCCTTCTCCAAGGCGGGTAAATTGATTTCATCTCTAGAGAAATGAACAACAAAATCTCATTGATACGTGTTCACGATGCCAACCTGGAAATCTTAGAGGCATTGAGTGGAACAAATCTGGTGGTGACCATAGGGGTCCCAAATAAGGCAATTGCCTATGTAGCATCGAGCCAAGAAGCTGCAGATAAGTGGTTCCAAGACCACATTGTCACATACATCCGAAAAGGTGTTAGGTTCCGTCATCTCTGCGTAGGCAACGAAGCCATCCCAAGTACTGTTGTTGCATCTTATGTCCTGGGAGCCATAACAAATCTCCATGAGTCAATTAGGAAGGAAAGGATAGATTACATATTTGTCACGACTGCTGTTGGAAGCAGTGTCTTAGGAGCCTCATACCCTCCTTCCCAGGGCCAATTTGCTCCTGCGGTAGCCCAGATAATGACCCATCTGACTTGCTTTCTACATAGCATCGGCTCACCACTTCTGATCAATGTGTACCCTTTCTTTGCCCTTGCCTCGGAGCCCAACCATATTCCGTTAGACTATGCTTTGTTCCAGTCTCAAACGCCTGTCATCATCGACGGGAACTTAGCGTACTATAATCTATTTGATGCCATGGTTGACCCCTTTTTAGCAGCAATGGTGAGGGCAGTTGGAAGGGAGGATGTCAAAGTTGTTGTGTCCGAGACGGGCTGGCCAACAGCAGGTCTTGCTCCCTAGTCAAGCATAGAAAACGCAAGAATTTACAACAGCAAACTGAGGGAACATGTTATTAGAGTAGGGAGAACACCAAGAAAGGCTGACATGAATATGGAGGTTTACATCTTTGAAATGTTCAATGAGAACCTCGTGGCTGAGGGAGTGAAGAGAAATTTTGGGTCCTTTTATCCTGACTTCGGAGAAGTATATCCATTGTGGCATTGATTGTAACTTGATGAATGGGCTCTGAATTCACCGACTACATATAATATGTAGTTCTTGAATTTGACTTGCTAAACTTTTGGAGTAGAAATCTGAATAATTTTTATTATTATAGTTACAAATCATTTGTATACAAAAATACAAAACTAGACTGAATTAGGCCTATAAATGTTCGTAGCATTACATTAGGCTCAAAATACACATTTAATCAAAACAAACAAATCTAAATATATACATGGTAATACCTATATTTTAACAAGACTTTCTAATTAATTAAGTTTATTTTTACATTACAAGAAATGAGATAGCTAGCAAGCGCATCAGGCCTTTGCCAGTTCAATGGCCAAATCTGAAACCTGGTCTATGGAAAAGGAAATTTACTTTGTATGCAAGAAATTCCATAAATAAGAAAAAGACAACGAAATTATTTTGGCCTGCTAGCATTAAAATATTTTTTATATATGAATTAATGGGCTGCAGTTCTGGATGTAGGAAAATGCTGGATTTGCTTCAGACCCATAAGGATTGGGCTGCTTCACCGCCATAGCCTAAGAGGAATGTTGAAATTTTTAACCCACATAAACCCTGATACTAGTACAGAGTTCTTCACCTACTTATTAAGTTCAGATTTTCAAGTTAGATAGGTTTACTAAGATGGTATCTAAATCCTTTTGAAGTATTCAGTCGTAGAACATTTTTATAGTAATTATTCAATGTGGGTGCTAGCTTGACTTCGAAATTTAATGAATTTGTATTTTTGTGAATGTCTTTAACTTTTTCAGCATAGTGATTCTTTAGCTTCACTTATATGGAAAAGAAATCAAGATGGGAGGACAGTGCAGGATCAAGCAAGAAAATCAAGAAGCACATCAATGGCTTCATTTGTCAATGAATTATTGTTTTTGTCTCTGGCTATTTGATCTGAAAAAAAAAATAATGGAAATACAAAGCAAGGTGCCAACAAGAACAGGGAAACGACATGAATGCTGGTTAAGAACAATGGCAATTCAGGCATTGAAATAAAAACAGAAGAACGAATGAGTGTGAAGTTGAAAAAGATAAATCCACCTAACAATGAGAAAACAGAGAATGTGAAATCTCAAATCTCTCTGAATCTGGAAACAGTCCTTTTTAGGAGCAGAGACTAAACAGAGGGAGCATCACACTGCTCAGTAAATAAAATCCATGACAATCCCATTCCCAGGAAATGCCCCTAAAAGCCAAACGAAAGGGACACTTTCAAACTCGCAAACAACAACGAATAAACTCCAAACACGCAGTGACCCATTTGTCGTCCACTTCCATAGCCCATTTGTCAGGGTAAATTTACGAATTACAGCCCCCCTCCCAAAAAATTTTTCAGATTCCAAACGCAAAATGAGTTTCTCCCTACGTCACCTCGGTAGCACATGACCTTGAGTCCTTAACGACATCTCTTACACGACAAAGCTCCCATCTCCCCCCATTCACATCTCGCACCATAACATCAAGTCTCTCTTCTGCTTTTTCATTTTTTACAGTTCCCAATGGCCAATGCAAAGAAACCCTTGTCAAATTTTTTTCTCTTCCTTCATCTGCACAAGTAAAGAATCAGAAGCCCTTTGTTTTTGAGTTTGACTTCTCATAACAGCATAAAACGACACATATTCCGACCCAACTCTGCTAACGTTGAAACCAATGCTTAAACAAATAATATGAGATGTGAACAGGTTTATAACGATCCAAATAGAAGATTCAAAAATCAAATGGTTTTTCCTTATTTTATTTATTCATCCCAAAGCCAAAAGTCCATACATAAACAAAGTCATAGATTCTCCACCTTCCCAAAACTCAAAAACAAAATATAGTGCTTCTTTTCAACACTTTGGTTCTCTTCTTGGTACAATGATTTCCAATGCAATGTTCGACGTTTCGACCACGCTGTCTTCTTCCCATGCTTTGCTTCTCCTCCAAATACACGAAACCGCCGACTTTAAACACTTTCCCAGGCCACAATCCTCAAAATCTTTGACATGGTGCACGATATTTCACATCCCACCTCGCACGTAGTCTCCCTCAATAAATTCACTTTCTCCTCCTCGTGTTCATTAAATTAATAATCATACGAGTGGCAGCATGAACATGAGATAAACAAATAATTAATCAAATTATTATTAGTAATTTAGTAGTGTTCTTTAACACTTGAAGTCAATGTAAATATAGCAGCTCTATGTACTCTTCCTCTCTCTTTTGTTTTTTGGGATTTTGTTATCTGCGTCTAGAACCGTTGCGATGCTGACATGTGGCGACGTTTGACGATGGAAATGAGGCCGCCTAATGGGGGCCGCATCATTGACCTGTAGATCATCTCATCGTACGGCCTCCTGTAGAACTTCAAAAAGGGCAAGAACGATTCTCGAGACTTTTCTGTCTTGGTGCTCACGTTGCAATCCCTTCGGAAAAACATGGCAGGTGATTGGAGGAAAGATGGCCGTGGTGTCCGGGGATGGTTGGCTTGGAGGGACTCGCTGGCTTTGCTGCGCTGCGGTAGAGGTGTAGATGGGAACAAGCTCTTCCTCATGCTGATGTTGCCACGCGGCGTCCTGGCAGCCGGCGATGCGAACGAGAGGGACCTGGCGTTGAGCGGGGAGATCAATGCCGGGCCAAAGGGGGAGGGGCTCGTTGGTCCAACTTTGGATACTGACGTGTCAGTCAAGGTGAGATACCAAGGCTTGAGGGAGTCGAAATGATGTGATACGGTGAAGGAGAATCTGGAGGAAGAGCATGAACCAATCTTGGCCGTCGATTTGATTGACGAGGGGTCAAACCGGAGAGACGAAGCTCTTGGGTACGATGCAAAGTCGTTAAACTCTAACGATTCTTCAAAATCTAGTGATGATACCACCATCGTAGCAGTTGATAACTCCACAAACGGACGAACACCCTATAAAAATCACATCAGCAATACACGATGTTAAATCATAACCTCATTTAATTTAACCCGAATAATAATAGAATTTGAATAAATATTATATTACCGTAATGGTTAACGGCTAATTAGACCTTATAACATGATTTGACCCATATATATAGTTATGATTGCCACAATCATTCAACCTTTAATACATTTCAATTAGTATGTAAAACAAAATCATAATCACTCTCTTTATCGCATAATGAAACCATTAAAAGAAGATAATGTTTAATTTTACACTAGACTTGGACCTAATTATTCTAGACTTGTCAAGTTTTTCAAAGGCATGAAGGCCTAACTTACTGAACTCTACAATTTGCTAATAGTCACATAATTTCAAAATCATCCACGTCCGAGATGGCATAGAAGGCCCACCCAGAGAAAAGAAGTGCACAAGATTTGACTAAAGCTTGATGATGGAAACAGAAGCATTGCAGGTTCATTTTTTCCTGTTCCGGTTTGAAGATCAAAAAGTGTTGTACACAACAAGGACTAGCAAGTAAGGAGCAGAGAGAGTTTTAAAATCACCTTCCAAATGTAAGAAAAGAGGGAAGGTGGGTCGATGACAAAAGCCTTGTAAAGTCGTCCGGGGTAGTACTCGGCCACAATTTTCAGTGCTGCCAGCAATGAGTTCATAAAAGCCGATGCTGATCTGAAAAAGCCTGTCAAACAAAACCCATTGTGAAAATGATCCCCCTAGGAGAAATTAAATAAATTAATTCAAATTTCTTTTGATCTCTTTTTCTTATTATTGTTATTATTATAATTAAAACATTAAAGCCTGACATTTGCAGAGGATTATGAGATAAAGCTCTAAAAAGTAGAATCTTGGGTACTTCTGGCTTTGATGATCGTTTAAAAAAACACAAAAGAGGATTTAAGGAAGTCCCAGTCTCCACTGCTAGAAATTGACCAATTCTGGAGAAAGATTAGTAATAATTTTAAACAACTCCAATTCCCGATAATACCCCTGCATATCCCTACGAACAATGAAGATTGATTTTGACACTTAAAGGGGCACTCCGGACATTATCTGAAGGTTGTCTCAGAACCTGCCGGTGATTCGACATATCTGCCTATCCTTGGGTTTTTTTATTTCCGCTCCCATTTATGACTCTAGGCAGCTGCCCGCTTTTCGCAGCGTGCAATGTCGCAGAACTCAAAATGACTCAAAAATAACACGATGTTCAAAGCTTTGTGGAGTTTTTCATTGGAGTTTGGAAGGGTAATGGAGTCATTTGGACTGTGAAACTTACTCGCATCGAAGAGTAGAACAAATTGTTCGACGTTTTTGGGCATGGTTCCTATAGCAACCTCCAATGTGAAAACCAGCAAACGAGTAAACCTAAAAATATGACAAAGAAAAAAACAAGATAATAAAAAGTTCAGATCTTGTTTCCGTTAGTTAACAAGCGAAACAGGACAAGGATTTGTGTTTAATTACTCACAGTTTCTGAGAGTGGAACTTTTGGTAATCTTGTTTGATCCTGAAAATCTGTAATAAGGACAATATACGATAACTGAGTTCCCCATGCTTCAACTCTCGAGAAAAGCTTAGAGGGAAAAAAAATGGGAGTTGAAACTTGAGATGAGATTTACCATGACAGGTCTGGACTCTTCGTCATGTCCAGCTACATAAGCAACTCCCTCAGCTAGTTCAGCTGAGAACTCATCTGCTATCAAATTTTCTGCACATGTCCAAAAGAAGAAGGGAAATTAATGTCATACAAAAACAAAAAGAAAAAAATCCAAGAAAAAGAAACAAAGAACCCTTTGAGTAAGTGGCTTTAATCATTAGAGAGTATATACTTTTAACGTTCAAATTGAAATGAAAAAGCAAGATTCTTTCATATATAAGAAACAAAAAGAAAAAGAAGAAGCGCATAAAAAGAGAAGAATTTATAGAAGCTAGGCAAAGCTTTTGGAGAAGAAGAAGCTAAAGCTAGAAACTATCAGGAACAAGAAGAACACATTGGTACCAATAACTACTCACCAGTGCCGATACTCTCTCTCCAAGAAAGACAAGCTCGTAAGTGCTTAGCAGCCTTCTTCACATTATCACCTTTTGCTCTCAAAAACCTCTCAACGCAAGCATAGTTGCAGAACTTCTCCTGTTGGGAAGAAACAAAATAATCACATCAGAATTGAAAAGCCCCCAGCTAGGAATCTTATTTCACAAGTACGAGAAAATGATTAGCCTTTTTTTTTTTTCTCTCTTATGAAAGCATTGATGACTGGTCTTAGCAGTTGAAGCACAACATGCACAAGAAATAAGTAAAACTTAAAAGAAAAACCCTCCGTCATAATTGTTTTGTTTGTGACAGAGAGATCTGTAAGCTGAAAAAACCTACCTGTTTCACTGTCAATGGAGACTGTTTCCTAACAAGTTGAAGAACAGCTTCAACTCTTTCGTCCACTTTCTGATCTCTCAACTCTTTCTTCCCCATTTCGAGAAACCGAAAAAGAAATTTAACTCAAAACTCACCGATAACTGATCTCTCTCTCTCTCTGTAATAACAAAGAAACACCAATATTCCAAACTTGTCCTTCACGCAACCATTAAAAACTTACACAAAAGAGAAGAATATATAAAAGGAGAAAGAGAGAGAGGGAAGAGGTGTTCAAAACTAGAAACGTCGAATAATGGGAGTATAGAGCACAGAGACTCCTATATATAGCGAAGTGACGGCTAATAACGCCGTTATATGGACCCGTACCAAAGAAAATATTTTTCAAACGTATGTTCAACGTCAACAGTGCTTTTTATTAGTCAATGCCAAAACGCATTATTTTGTCGAGTGGGATTGCGATTCCTAACGGAATACGCCGTGCCCCCCACCCCATGGCCAACCAATCGTTATGTTGTCATTATTCCGCTCCCCCTTTTCTTTAAGCTTTTAAAGACTAGTAGAGACTTGCATTTAATTTCACTACTACACTTCCAAAATAGCTTCATTTCAGGTACCTCCAAGAGCCATTACTGTTGTACAAAGCTCATTTATGGGAACTGGACTCTAATGTGAAAGGCTGCCACTGCAAATGTAAGAAAGCATAACCACATATAATTGCATGAAAACCAAAGAAAGTCGTACTGTGTGGCTGTCTGATCCTAATCTTAAATCTGATCATCACGTTAATTTGTTTAACTATGTCTTATGTTTACATGCTTATTACCTCACGGTCAATCAAATATAACTTCTCCTTCAATTTTATTTCCTTTTCATTATAATTTACATCGCTTGGTTGATCACAGTACAGCAGAGTGAATTTTCAGCAAAAAAAGGTGGTCAAAGGTGCCCACCGAAGTGTACTTTGAGTAAAATTCTTAAACTAGGACAGTGGCATTCAGCCCTTGCAAGTTTTACGAATGATTTTAATGTATATGGTAATATTGAAAACTACTGCCTTACGAGATTAACATTTACCAAAGGCCAAAGATTCATACATGAAACTATAGCAATCCATGATTTAAAACTTACTCAAAATAAAAGAATCGGAAGGAACAGAGAGATACTGTTTTAAGGCATCTTCATAATTGTGAAGACAATATTGCAGGGATACGTATGAAGTCATTTTAACCTCTGCAGACCAAAGACATAATTAGGTATGCTGAAGAGTCCAAGGGGAAGTGGAGACCCGCGAACGGATATTTCGGGATATAATAACACTTGGAAAATGGGGAAGCAACACTAAAACACTATTTTCGTGTACTTTGGGTTGGAGTTTACTTACTTCACTCTGCTTCTTGTTGCCAGAAAACTGTGTCTTTTCCCCCTTTTTGCCGTGAAACAGCAAATTTTGTCTACATATTACTGTATACGTATTTTATCATGCCGTGAAGGTTGAAACCCCAATATTTTTTTCCTTCATTTTTTTTTTTTGGTTTTTTCTTTCATTTTCCTCTTTTCCCTTGTTGGGCTTGTACTAAATCTTTGCTTCCATATGCCGAGATTCTCACCACAATTTTCTTCTCATCCCTTGTTTTGCTTTATATGACATGCAAAATGTTACTATGAACAATACAAAACCCTTTTATGTGCATCGTGAGATTCTCATCCCTTAGTCCCTCACTCCTTTTATAGATAATATCAAGATCAAACTAAGTTATGTAGTATAATATATTTTATCTTACAAGTTGTACGTAATTAAGCACTGACCCATGCATGCAAGCCATATAATTCAATGCAGCAAATTTAATTATTAAAAAAATAAAAGAAAAAAAACTTGAAGATCAATGTCATTGCATTTCTAATGTTTGAAGTGGCATAAAACACTGCATATTATAACGCAAACACATAGTCCCACAAAGTCAAAACATTGATATTTGTCGTCCCCAAATACCAAAAATGAAAGAGAAAAATAAAAAAAGGAAAGTCCTAAGTCCGTTGTTGTTACGCCGGAGACTTTTCCACAGTTAGAAAGGACCAAAATGTCCCAACATTCTCCACGTGTAAAGTTTTTTTAAATGAAAAATAAATTAATCTCCCATAGTACATGAATTTATTACTACTCCATTTCAACGGTTTTCTTTTTTTATTGCCCTCTGTTCAATAATAAAATAGTGGAAAAGAGGTTTGCCTAATTTCGAAAGCCAAAGTCAAAACTCGAATAGGAGCTCAAATCATCTGAGCAAATCCCATTCTGGTTCAGAGGAGGTGACAAACAATATCCTTTGCATTAATGCTATGTTGGCCTTTTTCATATTGGTCCAATTAATGGTAGTACGTTGTTATTTTCCTATGACAATCAAGTTTCTGCAACAATCTGAACTGAATGAATAATGCCTGACATGCCCAGTTTATACCCTAATAATCTTTTGCATATTTTTCGTATTTATTCACCCGATAATTCTCCACATACTCAAAATGACTCAAGCAAATTATTAAACATAAATTACAGTACTATACATATATACTTTATGTATGCATAAACAGCTTTAAGAAAAATTGATGGATGGCTGGATAATCTAACTCAGCAATGCAAATGGCTGCATAGCGCGTTGGAGTATAGCGAAATAAGGAAAAGGAAATACTCGTCTTAACCCATTAAAAAAATGCATAAAAGGTAAAAATAAAGGGGAAGGTTTTTTGGGGGTTTGGGTAAATAAAGGTTAAACATGGCCCAAACCCAAGTACAGGGTGGTAAATTGGGTTTCCCAAAGTTAAAGTGGGAGTAAGCTTTATCGTTCTTATTAAATAACAATAGAAAAGATGGTATTTAGTGAAAGATTTGTTTCATTTGTCCCCATTCAAATATGTGGTAGATTCCCCTCTTTATCCAAGCACAAGCACTATATTTCTTTATTTCCAACCCCCTTCCTTTGTTCTCCTCAATCTCTCTCTTCCTCTAAATTAAAGTAGAGATTTGTTTGATATTTGCCAACTGTGTGTCAGATTGGATAATTGGGGGCATAAGATGATGACTTTTCGGATATCAATTTCTTTTCTTTTATTGCTGGCTAACATCCAATCCCCCCCATGTGGCCCAAGTGTCCTAAAGTTGTTTTTCCTTAGTTCACCTACCCTTATAAAAAAAAAAAAAAGAAAAGAAAAGAACAGAAAACCCCACTCCCTTTTGGTATGTGGATTTTGATTTTGATTTCAAATTTTGAACACACCATCCTCCCTCCTTCTTAGCTCTTCTTCTACATTATGCTGTTCACACCCCACAAAACCATCAATCCCTTTCTAACCCATAAAACATTTTTATCATGTCTTAATCATTGCTTTTTAAATTCAAAATAGTGATCATAGTGCCTTCCTCTCTGGCGTATATTCTCTCTTTCTCTTTCTCTAATTTAATAAAAACAAATTAAGCTGATAAATGAAGGGTATTGGGTTTAATTTCTTTTTCTTTTTTTTTTTCCTTTCAAGTTGGCAAATTGACTAAGATGCGGCCGGGCTGCCTGTCTTGTTTTGATGACGCTTGTTTTGGACAAAACTAGGTTAAGGGATCTTGTCTCTTTTCAAAACTAGGCCCTAATAAGTAACAAGTTTGCAGCAACGAAACAAGTGTTCCTTTTTTAATTTGGTACGGGTTTTCTAGGGTTTTGAGAATCCATTGCAATGCTAGCTCACATATGAATACGTGAAACTTGGAGAGGGGGGGAAGATGCATATATACCTACTAATGAATCTATGCTTTGACTAACAATATAGTTTCCAGTTAACATGCCCAAATGCCAATGCTCATTTTGGAGTAAGTTAAAAATATGTTAAAAAAATGGCTTACCTAGCCTGACCTTATGCATTTTATCACATTTGAACAACTCTTAACCTCATTCAAATGTTAAAACAATTAGTAGTATTTTTTTAATCTTCATACCAAACTCTTTGGAAAATGGCTGCTGATTAATCCTCGCAGGGAAGCAATCAGTCAGCTGGAAAAAGTTGATAATTGTTGTTTCACCTTACACCATCCAATGATCACATATTCAAAACACAAGGAACAAGCCAAAGATATACTTCAGAAATTTAAACTATATATACATATCTCAACAATTTTCATAACCTTCACTAACTAATAAATAGTATCTATTTAATGAAAGACAAAGGATTCTTTTAAAAAATACTCCTCATACACAAATTGTTTTTGAAAATAATACTCTTTATAATTTTAACTATTTTTAACCAAAAAAATTAATTTTGAACAAAATTATCTTTAATAAAACTAATCCATATATTTAGATATACACCTCAAACTAACTCATATACTTGAACTTTTCTTGTCAGACCATTCATCTCTAAAGTATTCATTATCAGAAAAAAAAACTTTTAAACAGTTTAAACATTTTTGAGTAGTTTTTGATATACGAAAAAAAACTTTTGAGCATTTTTAAGTACTTTGGAGTGCTTTTTGATACATGAAAAAACCATTTGAGCATTCTTTGCCAAGTAAGCATATGTTGTTAAATGGAATATTGTGCATTGTTTAAAGTTGTTGATTTTGTTAAATAGTATTCAATAGTTTTGATGGTTTTTAGGAATTGTGTAATAAATTTGTGAGTATTACGTGACTAGTTTTTAAGTATCATATGATTAATTTTTAGATATTATATGACTGCTTGATATGCATTACGTAACTGATTGATAAGCATTACGTGATTGGTTAGTAAGCCATTGTGTAACTAGTTTTTAGGCATTGTGTGACTTAGGGATTATCTAAAAATTAGTCACGTAATATTTAAAAATTAGTCTATGTAATACCTAAAACCAGTCACGTAATATCTAAAAATTAGAGACGCAATGATTAAATCATGCAATGCCTAAAAACCAATCTCACAATATCTAAAAACCAATGACATAATTCCTAAAAATCAATAATGCAATACCTAATAACTAATTGATTTGCTTGCTCGTAGTCCGGTTTAAGTTGTCAAAGTTATACAGTATTTTAATTTACAAATATGTCTGATTAATTTCGATCCTGCAATTTTAAGATTGTATGAATAAACCAATAAATTCAAGAACTTAAAATATATATCTTGATGTTATCTTTATTTTTTGAAATGACGAGAAAGAGCTGGATGTCGAGATAGATAGTATTAACAAGAGAGAGAAATTGAGATTTAATTTTAAAATTTTTAGTTAGATGACGGAGATAGAGAAAATTAAAACTATTTTAATTTATCTGAAATTATTTAAAAGATATTATTGTCGAATCATGTCAAAAATTAAATAAAAATAATTAAAATTATAATGAATGATATTTTTAATTTGAGTTTAAGAAAAAAGTTCTTTTTTGCAATTTTTTCAAATAGAAAGAGAAATATAATATTATGAATTTTTTTCCTTACAAAATATATAGTTTTTCTCCACCTAAATGCATGAAGAAAAGTGAAAGTGAGAGATCATGATGTTGAAAATTTGTTAACGTTGGAAAAAAGCACGATCGTGAGGTGTCAACTATCAAGTTGCCAAAGACAAAGGGTGTAGCCAGGGGGGAGCATTTCATCGTTCCTTGTGAGGAACAGTTAAAAAGGAAAGACAGGGTTAGATACAGCTTTTATGTTTTTCATGATGAATAACACACTTCCCATTGTGGGCTAGTAATGTGTTGACCACACAGCTCACGAACAATTCTCGCATGGTGTAGGGGACCCATGGCTTTGTGGCTGCACCCATGGCCCCGCCATTGAACAAAAGTTGGTTGCGCCTGGCCCTGATCACCAGCCATGCTCTCACTCACTCACCTCTTTTGGGATCAAAATCATACATCTTTGGAAGACCTTTTCACTAGACAAAGCCTCAATAGAAGCATTTATACCCTTACAAAAAGAAAAGATAAAAAAGAAAATCCACAAGCATACGAGGTGATGACTGCTGAGTTATAGCTTTCACCATCACTATCCAAGGTACTATAATTCTCATTGACACATGCAATTTTGAATTTTCAAACTTATATACATAGGCTATATTTAATCTAAATTAAGATAAAATTTATTATTTTAATCCACTAACGACACCTCTAATTACTGATATTTGCAAATAATCTGTTATTAAATATATGAAAATTGAATACCTACTATCTTTATATGTTTATTTAATCGAATAATTTTGCATTTTGTTACATCCACAATATTACATACACATGATATACAACTTATTCATAAACTAATGTATAGAATAATAATCGAAAATATAGTTTAAATATCCAAAATTCATTTCGTGTAGGTCAAATTTCTTGTTTGTCTAAAATTAATAATTAGCAAAATATTTACCAAATGTGGCAAGGGAAAGGAAAAAGTAGCGCAGCAAAGAAATCTGAACAGAAGAAAGAGAAATCTCAACAGCGAAAGAAGAGACAGGTGAAGATATGCAAGTTAGCCCACGAAGCCAAAAGTTCTTTCAGTTAGTGTATTATTTTGCGAGTTAATTACGATGCAAATGCATGCATCTTGAATCCCTTTGTTCGGCTTCATTTTTGTTAAACCAAAGCTTTAAATTAATTTTCCTATATTCAGTGGACCTTTTTGGAAGGTGTTAACGTTGAGAAGCAGCCCAACTATAAAACATGCAGGGACTAGAAATGGAAAAGTAGAGTGGTGGTTGACTGTGCTTTAAACTAATGGCATGATTAATTAAAGTAATAAAAGCAAGTAAGGAAGAATGATTGTGGTTTATAATTAAGCAAATCTTTGCGGCCAATCCAATGAGATGACAATTCAAGTAAAAGCAGTGCTAATAATCATATACTTTATCTTTTAAGCTTTAACCTTTTTTTGTGAAGATAATATATTGAAATGATGACATGATTAGACCAGGAATTGGTTCCATTATAGCAAGTGATTAGACATCTAGTGCTGAATGTTAATTTATTTATTTTTAATTCTTGTGCATGCATGCATGCACATGTACGAGTGACACTGTGTGTAGTGCATGCATGTGTTTTAGCTATGTTGTTATTGTCTAAAAATCAAATCATTAATAGCTTGACATATTGTAAGATCACCCAAATCTGGGGTACATTAGCTGCTACTATATCTTTTAGTGACCTTATTGTTGAGATGAACAATCTACTTGAACTTATCCTCGTTGGTTAAGTATTATCTTTTCTTAATTATATATATATATATATATATAGTTTGGTGTAAAAGGACCCTAAGAGCTAGCTAGGATTAATCAATCACGAGATTTCCCAACAAAGAAATCAATCACGGGATTCTTCCCCTTTAATTTGGGCGTTGACTCTATTTCCATGCTCCATCTCTTACACCATCAGTCAAATTTTATATTATGATCATAATATTTCCCTTTATATTGTTTTATATACATGTGAAGGTTTATATTAAATATGTTTTGATTGTTTCCTGCACCGCACGTTTAATTCATGAGATTAAAAAAACAATAAAATATATAATTATTTAGTGAGAATAAAAATTAAAAAAATAGTTATTTGTAATTTAGTTGATAGATGAAATGTAATAAGAGCATTCTATTAAAACATTTAATTGGTTGAATTTATGAGTGAGAATATTACATAAAGATTAAATTAAAAATACCATTTTATCTTTTAATGAAAAAATATTACCCCTATGGCTAAGGTCTTCAGCTCCTTCATTTGATGGTTCTGAGAGCTTTAAACATGATCCACAACCACAAAAAAAAAAAAAAAAAAAGAGCAGTGTAACGACTAGATTGGGGTACCATAGCACGGCCTAATTTGATCCCCGACACTCCGTAGGACCAAATTGACAGTTATATTTGATTGCTGCTGAAGATTCCGACGACGAAATGATGTGATGGAGATACTCTGGTATCTCTTGGAATTTGGGCAATTGTAGAAATTAAAAAAAAAGAAGATAAAATTGCCACATAAACCTTTGATTTTATTCTCGATGTACTAGATTTGGCTATGTTCATGAAAATTCTATGCCAATAAACATACCGTCAGGTAGCATTAAAGTTATTCTATAGCAACAATGATTGTTAATAATTTACTTACCACCTAAAAAATACTGGTTAAGTAGGCGTCAAAAACAATGTTAGGTGTAACTGATGTTTGTTCAGAAACCTGATTCTCATGGACTGCAGGATTTTTGTATTCTTTTCAGTTGGACTGACTGACCAGTGACCACTGGGTGACTGGGTCCTAGGTCCGTCAGGGCCAATAGCTTCAGCCCATCTATCATGACCTGAGCTTTAGCCTGTCAAATTAGTACAAAACCCCATCTACTTGCCTGTTATTAATCACTGTATGGCTCCAAACAGCTCTCATTGATGCCCCATCGCATTTGTTTGTCCTTTTCTCTCTCCTATGATTTTGCCCCCTTTAATAATTCAACCATCCCATTGATTTCCCAGTTGAAACTATCTTGTACTTGTATATATTTTTTTAATCATAATATTTAGATTTTATGTCTTTGCTACAAAGTAGTTCTGTGAATGTGGACATGAGCCTACTGAAATATTATCATTACCTTTTTTTTTTAAATTTTTAGAAAAATAAATTTTTATTTATTTATTATTAAATTAAATACTTTAGTGCTATTATAATTGCACTTTTAATTCTCAATGAGCATTTTGAAAAAAAAAACCAAAACTCATAAATTCTTCACTGTTTTTGGAGCTGGGCCAGCCTTCCCTTGTCTCGACAGCCGGGAGCCCAAAGAGACCTACACTTTAGAATTTGAAACCCATTGTAAATCATGGGCAATTGGGCCCAAGGAAAGCCTAGCTTTTAACAGTAATCCATTGTAAAAAATAAAAATAAATATTCCCCAGCCCATTTGGACCTTTGTATAAATGATTAATTTGTGATATCCCATTTTTATATCCCAATCATGATTAAAATTACTCAACTTTAATAAATTATTTCCATTACGTTTTGAGAAAGTTACATTACATTATTTAAGCTCAAAAAATTTATTGGAGTAGTGGCATTTGTATCTAAGCTGTTTCATAAATTATTAATCATTTTGGTTGTTGTGATTTAATTAATCTTCTTCCTAGTTAAAATATTTAGAAATAATTAAAAATTGGACCCAATTCTTTTATATGAAAGTTATAGGAATTAACAAATTGAAAGAGAGAAGCTTCTACGGTTTGTTGAACAAAATAACTTGTACCTTATGGAAGGATAAATTATGAAAATGAACTAAACTTTGCATTAATACTACAAGGTGACACGTGCTTAAACTGCCATTGCAGGTAGTCTTATTTATGTTTTTTTTTTGGGTTAATAGATATATTATTTTTGCGTTAAAAAATGATGCATGAGATCGTCCTTTACAAATTTATGAGAGAAATTCCTATATAATTAAAGATGAGAGAGAAATAAAACTGCTAACTGGTATAATAATTTCTGCTGCTACTATAACCAAGCTTTAGCCTCAAGCTTGATCAAGAGTTTGTATTTAATAAAAGAAATTAAAAGGCACAGAGTGCATTCAATTCTTGGTTCTTTCTAATAATGATTGATCAGTCCAATTTCTGGGTCAGCAAGCCATGCCGCCGTGACACTTTGAAGGCACCCATAGAACAGGTGTCTTATGGGAGGGAGACACTTGTAGGAGACTTCTTATCTGAAGTTTATTTATTTATTTTTTTGGTTTGCTTAGAACACAAGAGCTGCCCAGAAAAGGCCAAAAAAAGGAAGAAACCCCATCAGAGTAGGATTGCTGCCTATGTCCAAAAACTTATTTGCTGAAAATGATGCTCTAGTGTAGGAAACTGGAAAAAGGCTTGAGGGTTAAGGGAAGTTAGTGAGAAGAAAAAATGTGGCAAAAAAGAATTGTGCAGAAGTGTGAAAATCACAGCTGATTGGTGGGGTGGCTTCTTCTTCTGCAAGGGAAAAAGGGTTTTGACAATGACACTGCACCAAGAGCAAAATGTGATGTGCATGATTTGGCAAGCAAGTGAATGCAAAAATGTTTTCAATAAAAGGTACCAATTTTTAAGAGGAAAAAACAAGTTGTTGGCACAGACTTCATCCTGCTTGTCTAAGCAAAGACAACAGTTCTTCTGTTGTCTTATTTTTTGCTCCCACTTTTTCACCTACATGAGCCACACCCTCTTCTCCAAATGGGGTGGCTGCAATCCCTCCTCTCTCCATTGAAGAAACTGTGGTTCCGTTTACATTCAGCTCAAAAGAAGAGTATGTTGCCTATACTCACTGCGTTTTCATCATTTCTCTTCTTTCCAACTCATACGCATGCTAAGTTTGCAGCCTGCCCTTCCCTTCCCTTCCCTTCTTTTCTTTCTTTCCTTTTTTTTTTTTTCTTTTGTTTTCTGTTTATCTTTATCTTTCTTTCTTTTCATGGTTTTAAATTCAGTACAGACTTCTCACCAATGGCGCCAATGCCTGTTCACTTTCATTAACAATCTTGGGAAAAGCATTCCAAATTGAACCAAACTCTGCTTCAATGCATCTTTGCCTTTACCTTTTCTTCATTGTTGGGATGGTTTCAAGAATGAGATGACTTTGAACTATGTACCAAATATGTTTGCTACTCATTCATACATCAACATTCTTTTCCAGCTAAGCTGCTCTGCATTTGCTCATCAGTATTGAACTTTCTCCTTTTTATCTTTTTCTTTTTTCAATCTTCTTAGGCTGAAAACTTTTGTTTGGAATTTCTCAGGAAGAGGGATATACATTTTGTATGAGGATGTCAAATCCTGCCCCTATGAAGATGTGCAAGTGTTATGGTCAATATTGGTGGAGTCGAATGCATCTTCCTTGCCCGCTAAACAGTGAAGGCCCTTCTGAGGGGTCGACTTTCTAAAGCAACAATACTGAGAGTTACTCCACTCCTGTACATAAAATATTTATGATGTTTTATACTCTATGAAACAGTTTTTACTTTGTCTCTTTTATTCTCAACTTCCCTTTTGGAAATGCATCAGATACCAGAATATGAGTCATACTTTTTTGTTCCTTTTTTTCTTACTTCACCTTTTACATAAGGTTAATCAAATTTAATTTCTGAAATTGGCCCTTAATCCCCTTAATTATCGACAAATTTCGTTAAACTTAATGATTATAGTTGACAAGCTCTGGGGAAAGCAAAAGGTTGTTCTTTTCTTTACTTAAAATGTGGCTTCCTATTGTTGCCTTGTCACTTTTCAGCAGTTGGGGGATGGCAGTTTATTTCTTGTTTTCGTATCCCTCTGAAGTTGACTTGGGAGAATTTTGAATGGATGTGATAACCTACATGAATTTCCATGCCTTTATTTGACCTTAAACAATTGGTGTAAAGTACGAGCATGGGCTGATTTTGTATGTAAATTGGTAGACTACAATATCTATGTAACAGGATATTATAATTTAATCAAAGATATCCTTTTCAAATTAAAACCTTGGGAGTAAAACAAGTTTGATTTCATCCCATGAAACCCTAGGTGATCAATCTTGGGTCAGATTTAACATACAAATGAACAAAGTTATCCAACAGCAAAATTTTATTTTATTTTTCTTTTTTTTACCTCTCCTTCTTATTTTAAGGAGGAGTAAAGAGCGGGTGAAAATTTCTCTTTTCACCTCAATTGTTCACAAATGGACTGATCGATGAGTGTTGTTGACCTGTTAGTTATCACTGGAGAAATAAGTTCTATTGCTGATCTAAATGACCGCTTCTTTAAATATGTTATGATTTGGCAAATAAATCAGCTGTTTAGTGGGGGTGCAACAGCCATAAGCACCCAAAAATAAAATGATTTGCTACAAATAAATGTTAATTTTCTGTCTTATCTGATGTCTGGTTCAGAGCATAAGTCTGACAGAATAAGAACACTTGGGAGCACTGACAACTATTCATTAAACAGGAGATGTGAATAAGTCCAAACAAGCACAATAGCTAATTTCAAACTGATCCCATAGATGCTTAATGGATTAAATGATGGTTTCCCATAATTTTACAGCACCATTAAAGGTCTTTTGTCTTTTGTGTTCTAATTGGGGAAGAAGAGTAATTGTTCTAAAATCCCAGCAGTATATTAATTAAGACATGATGCCAAGGGGGAATCTAGGAGATCATTTTTAGCAATTGTTTCAGCCCTGGAAGCTCATTCAATCAGCCTAGAAGTAGTGCAGAACTTATCATTTTCCCATAACCAAGGCAGATAACAATGCAGCATCGTTGCTTATAATTCTCCTCCAAAATTGGAAATGATGACATAAACAACTCAGCTATCCATTAAAAACCATAGCACACCTGTGTAATGCATTATCAACTCCTTTTTTGCATAATCAAAGGAATTTCTAAGATTTCCAAATTGCTTGGGGCATAAGTCTGGTCAGGCAATGATGTCAATTTCTCCTATTGGCTCGTAAAGCTATCATACGTGTAAGTACAACCGCAAGTGTCTTTACAAAGTAGCACGCTTGCTTTAAACATGTACAACTTTATCCGTATCAATGTAATTATTGCTATCCAGAATGGGATTACGAATAGAAATGATTTAATAACTTTAGCACTGTTCGCTTCTCTTTCTCTTAAGCTCACAAGGCGATGATCAGGGCAACAATTAAGACATGAAACAAGTACAGGACAAAGCTAGCAATGGAATTGAGAATTGAAGCATTATGAAGTTTAAAAAGCCAACTTATTGAAGTTATTAGTCATTATCATTCATTCCCCAAGCCTTAATCGTCCCTGTAACACATTTGCTGAGCCACTTTCGGGAGCCAATCTTTAAAGTATGCTTGGCAATCATTGTCTGGATGAGTGAGGGCACCAAGAGGAGTGATGGTTATCTGAAATGTAATTTAACCATCAATGAAAAACCAGGAGGCACTATCCGTTTTTGATCAATTCTATGAAGTAAAGTAATACATACGTATCCTTCCTGAAGACACTTTTGATCTGATTCATCCTTGTCAACTTTGAATCCCCTCAACTGTATGAATTGAAAAAGAGAACTGGTTATGGATGAACACTTAATCATGGAAAAATATTAAAAGAGCCAATGTTCATTCAAGCAAGACTTTAGAGGATGGCATACTGAATTCTCAGTTTTGATTGCGTCTAGGGGTCTCAATGTTTACAGATATTATAATTGCATAATAATATGGGAAGGAACTCACTTCTCTACCGAATAAAAGGTTCTCTTGCGATAAAGATGATGCATCGGTTTCCAACACTGTTGATGATGATTTTCCTCCTTGAACATTAGAAGTAATTTGCCTCCATCCTATCTTCAGCATACTTTTACCCTGTTTAGTCAGTTTATACCCCTTTTGGAGGCAAGATGAAACAAGTCAAGGAATATCATCACGACATTGTGAAAGATGAATGGCAACATCCTCAAAATAAAACTAGATGTATCATTTGATTTCGTTATTAGAAAGATCCAAGATTCATGATTTTTAACTCCTTTATGATGATAAGGTTTGAAAATTAAACTTCAATAATCAAAATTATAAGTTATTGGATCACCTTCCCAGCTATGTCATCTAGTTTCCTGCTGGCTGCAGCCACTTGAAATGCAGGGTAACTGATGGCACAGCAGCGTTAACTCACCTCATGGCTAGTTCACAAATTTTTATTACCTATATGGGTTGAAACTATCTTTGGAGAGAACTGAAGACATTCTTTGAGGAAAAAACATAAGCTTGAGATTTAGAAAACCAATCAATTCACACATATATAAGCTGATAAAGGAAAGAACCATATATAAAATGCATGTACTGAAAATTACAGAACTTCAGAACTTGCTGAAACTTTCCAGGAAGGGCCAGAAGATGAATATATGAAGGCAAGCTTGTAAGCAAGATGGATTTCAGAGGAAAGCAGTGTGATGTAGGATTATAAGACGTGGCAGAAAACAATTCGATGAAGGATGTTGCCAAATGGGCTGAAATACTGAGAACATTACCTCTACTTGATAAGAATACTGGCATGAAATAAACCAGTCACTAATAAGAAATTTACCTTATGATTAGCAAGATCTCTTGGCAGGTCTATATTCAAAAAGAATCCTTGAGGATAAGTCTGATTCTTGATCTCAACTAGTATTGCGCTGATTATTGGCAAGCAAGTCTTAGCAGCAGATGCATAGTCTTGAGTCTTGGCTTTAGCATCAAGCCTTGAGTGCCCAAAATACAATATTTAGTGGAAGAAAAGAAATAGTTAACGAAATTCTACCGGAAATAGCCATATTTAGCTCATTGTAATATTGAGATAGAAAGAGACTGGGAGTTAGAATGCTAATGAAAAAATTTTAGGTAAAATGTAGAGTGGTCTAAACTCTGTTAGCTGTAACCAACATTTATGAGAAGCTTTGGCTGTTTGAGAAGGCAAGACTTTTACCAGAACCAAGCGACCCTATCAGTTTTGTCATCACTAATCTTGGGGGGCAAAAGTTTGGTCATGATTTCTCTGGCCAGTATTTGGTCCACGAAAAATCAGATTTCTCGTATCTCATTCAATTCAAAAAAGTAAATAGAATTAACAGAGAAGGAAAGAAGTTAGTCCAACCTTAGCATCTTCTCCATTTGCTCTGAATTAAGCCCACCGTAACTACAACAGAAAAGGACACAAGGATCTTGATTACATCACTGATAAGGATTAAATTATAGTGTATAGTAGAAAAATAAAGATGAAAAAAGAAAACTAGTAAAGATTAATTTGGTGACATAATTCCGAAGCAGGTTGAGTTGCATTGCCCCGGGTTCGATCATGATTCCTCTTTCAATTACTTGATCCATGAAAATCTTATCTCTCATCTCATCCCAAATTCCAGGTAAGAAGGTTATACATAAAAGGAAACTAGCAGAACCTTGGCTGCTTCTCCTCCGCCTTTACCACCATAACTACAATAGGAAAGGACACAAGGAACTTAAATAATCACTAGCAAATGATTTAGATCTTAGAATGTATAGGAGGACATGTTGGAAAGGATTTCCAGTCTTGGGCTTTAATTTGGCAGCATAATTGTGAAGGTATCACATGGAGGTTGAACCAAGACCATATATGTTAAATCGTTAACACTCATAAATAAACCAACTGTGAAGAGAACCAGTGGAATAGGTCTTTGCATCAGGATTGATAATGCATCCTGAGAATTGGCAACCATTGCTTGGCCTCTGCTGGTACACTGAACTAAATTTTAACTTTGCACAGAATATTCTTTCTAATCTGGTAATATAGAAGCAAGATATGCCTGCATACTAATCATATGATATCGAGACGGCTGGTACACCATTTAGGAAGGCCTCTCGAGCAGCAGCAGCCGTACCAGAATAAACACTGCAATTTGAGTGATTGAGTCTTGGTAAGTATAGTCATGAAGAAAAGCCTGCCAGACAACTAAATCAACATCATATTTGACAGAACAAAATCTGGAACACAGCTGTTTTAACAGCTACTACTAGGGAAAAGTTAGTTCAATAAACTATAACAGATAACCACATGAAAATTCAATAAAAGAACATATTACTTACATGTGGTAACCACAGTTGCTGCCCTGATTAATGCCGCTGATAACCTGCCCAGCAAAATTAGACATGCATTACAACAGCTTGCAAGATTACTGAACTAACTTTAATGAAGTTTTAGTAAATTTGTGTTTTTGATAACGCTAGCAAGTATCGTTGTCTTTCATAACTGCATACGAAATCCAGGGAAGTACCAAATCAGGAACTGAAGAAAAGAGCACTGAGGAGACACCCAAAGATGCACAATCAGCTGGAGTTCCTGAAGAATGCAAGCAAACACCTCACGTGTTAACACCGTGGGTCCCCTCTGTTAGTTCAAACTCCAAAAGAGAAACATAAATTTATCCATGAAGTAGATTTCATGGGGATCATGCATCAAACCAGAAACCACAAAAGCTGTTGCTCCATCCATATCCACTTGCTTGACAGAAAGAGGTCGGCGCCATGTAATACTATGACCAACAGCTGACATTTCCCTGCAATTGTTGCAATAACATCATTAACAGAGAATTATTACTGCACCACCACAATTGTACTACTCTCAAAATTATTTTGATTGTAAAATATAAATAAATTTGACAATATTTTCCAAGAAAATTAGCATGCATGCGTTACGTACCGTTGAGGGGCGCAGACAAGAAGGTTGAATTGATGGGTGGAAACGAGGACGCTAACCAAGGCTTTCAAGCCAGGTGCCTCAATTCCATCGTCATTGGTGATCAAGATAGTTGGCCTCTGCTCAAAGCTGTTAGAAGAATCAACCTTTTCCATCAGTACACGGGCAAGACAAATATTTCATATGTTATTTCACTGTCTCTGCTTCACCTCTAAATTCTTACAGAATTTATAGGCAAAGTTGGCTTTGTTTAAGACATGCTGATCATATGAGTTATATAAAGTTTTCTTGGAGTGAACGCCCACAGTTATTTTTTTTCATTCTTTTTGCTACTGGTAGTTCGTAATCTAACTTTAGAATTTTCTGATATTTAATCCTCTTAAATTGTTTGGCAGCATTAAAGGAATTTGAATGAATATCACCATCCTATTCTAGAGTTTTCATTTTCTTTTTAAAATATTTATAAATCTTAATTTAACTGTAAATAAAAGAATTTCAGCTATTACATAAAAATTTAGATAATTTGTGAGATCCGTGATCCGTCTCAGTGCTACAGTTTTATGGTTAAGGCCGCCTGAAGAATTTTAGAGTGAGCCAAGAGTCTACACTGCCTCAAACCTAAAAGTTCAATTTTGGATTGGAATGCACCCTTAAAGTGCATTTGGACTAGGGATTTCATTTGTTAGTTAGGTTAAATGAAATTAATTAGTTAGGTTAGAGAGCACTCCACCAATTAAAATTTATTTCCATTACCAAATTAAGATAGATTTTTAAATGGAGAACAAGCAAGACTCTGCCAGCGATGTAATATGAACAATAATGAAGCCAATGATGGTGAAATTAGAACTTCTTTTATTTAGGGTAAAGCAGATTTAAACCAGCTCTTCAATTAACAGGAGGATACATACATCAACAACGAAATCCAATATTCGGATTTCAATCATATTAGAACTTCTTAGGATTTCAATGTAAATCCGGAGCACGGAAGGGAGGAGAGGAACCCGGAGGATCACTTCAGGAGTAGTCGAGTTCAAAAGTCCTTCTCCAATCAGGCCCTTAAGCAAGTTCCTGAAATAACCAAAAAGCGAATAGGGAAGTTATTACGCATGATTGCACACATCGCCTACTACTGGAATTCTTGCAACAAACATGCAAAACGAGAGAGATAGAACCAATGAGTCATGTTCAGTATTATTTCACCCACCAGAGGGATATCAACTGCATTATAACGCTGATGAAGAGAACCGTTGAACTACACTTGGTAGCCATTCTTTAAAGTAGGACTGGAAATCAGCCTCTGCCTGAGAGAGGGCTCCAAGAGGAGTGACAGTAATCTGAAATGAAATTTTGAGTATCACATCAATTACGAGGCTGTATTAATTAAAAGAATTTGCATCAAGTTGAGCAAAGATACCCACATATCCTTCCTGAAGAAATTGCTTATCTGTATCAGCATCATCAACTTGGGCTCCTCTTACCTGCAAAGATTGACAAGCAATTCCAAAATCAAGCAAGATTTGGGAGATAAACGCCCTTCCAATCGGACTCTCAGATGAGGCATTCCGCTCCCAACTTATTCACAAGAAGTAATGAAGAACCAGGTTTCAATTTACATGCTTTCAATGACTTTCCTATTTGATAACGTTTACCTACATACTGACCATCCAAATAGAAGATTTTAACAATTTCTTCAAGGTAGCCATCTTCTTATTACATTGTTTCATGTGGAAGAAAGCCGAGCAAAACAAAAATGTTCAATGAACATTGCATAATCAGAGGAAAACCAACTTAGCAGAATAGTATGCATACAAACAAATACACCAAGAGAATAAAAGACCACCTCTCTTTTAAACAAGAGATGTCCTCCTGCTTCTGTTGATGTATCAGTTTCTGTCCTTGCAGCCGAATCCGTCTCCATTTCCATTGAGGATAACATCTTTCCTCCTTGCCTTTCAGAAGTAACTTGCCTCCACCCCATTTTGAATATACTTTTACCTTGTCTAGTCAGCTTATATCCCTTTTTGAGGGAGAAGAAACAGCCGAAGTAATCATTAAAACACATCCAGAATAAATGCATGGTAGAATTACTAATATTCATATGATGAAGAAGATGCTAGTAACAACAGTATTGCACAAAAAGCAAATTAATAATTGTTAAGAGATCTTCTAAACTAAAATTCAGAACAGGGGGATTAAACCAAAATAAAATCACTTGAGCCAGATAAATTTAAGACATCTAGACAGACAAAGCCACAAGCAGTTGATTGAGGGGGAAAATAATTGAGATATAAAATCAGCCTGCCATGCAAATATGTTAGCTGTGCCCTTCCTTTCCTAATTGAAACGGGAAATGAAACCCTTAATGATTCCATTTACCTAAGAATTTGCTATCGTACATGGTACAGAATTTGTTAAGTCATTTTAATTCAAAGAAACCTAAGAGAAAATTTTGCATATATTCTGTAAGCAAACAACAACAGCAACCATGAACAAGGTCAGAAATTGATAATACACCAGATTTGGTAGTAACTAAGTGGCAGCAAGAAAGTGGAAAGCCATAAAGAAAACAAGACAAAGCCAGCCTTTGCCTGCTAAATGTGAGGCCCTTTCAAAAGAAAATTTAAGATGCAACTTTGTTAACCAATTCCGACAAGTTTTCAAGCTGCAACCACCTGGAGATCGGACATAATAAAGAGAATCCTAAATTTAATTCACAAAGCTACAGCACAGCAAAATAAATTTGAGGAATATATGTCCATGTGTGAAGAGCAAGGACGAAGCATGAAGCATTAGAGAAAAGATGGTCAGATAATGTAGAATTCCAGCCTAAAATGCTGGACTGGTGAGATTAAAAAAAACGCTTAAGTATAAAATTCAAGACAGATACTGATAAAAGTGAGCATAAATAGCAAAAGTTCTTTTTGAGCAAACAGCATTTCTGTCAAATGCTGACAATAATCAAATGCTTTTCACTCTAGCCCTACATAAAACAGCTAGCAGATTAACCATATCAGAATTGATAGCCAATTGGTTAGATGTTAAGTATGTAATAGACAGGACTAGATGCACAAAAAGTTTAGGAAATTTTGTGCAAATGTTGGCAATCTAATATAAAATTTACCTTGTGGTTGGCAACATCTGTAGGCAGATCTATATTCAGAAAGCCTCTAAGAGGATAATTTTTATTCCTAATCTCATCTAGTATTACACTGAAGATTGGCAAGCAAGCCTCAGCAGCAAGGGTATAGTCACTAACACTGCTGATACCTCCAACCCTGAAATTTCATACCAAGAATAATCACATAGGAAGACCATGTAGGTACTAGAGAACAAACTGCACACTACTTTAAAGATACTTTCATACAAGCATATTGTCATGGGCATATATCTACATACCAGTCATATGATACAGAGACAGCAGGTATATCATTGAAGAAGGCTTCCCGAGCACCTGCAACAGTGCCAGAATAGACACTGATTCCAATAATAGGCTAAATCAGTCATGCAATTAGCAAAAACTGACTTTCCATATAGAATCACTACCTAAGCCGCAGCATTTACAACTATGACACAAAGACACAGCTAACGGCAATGAAATCATGAGCTAACTAATATATAGAAGGTGTATAGAGAGAAAAAAAAAAGATCACTAACATGTGATAACCACAGTTGCTACCCATGTTTATGCCACTGATTACCTGTGTATAGAATAAGGAAAGTTAACAACTAGCAACACAATCTAAACACGATGAACAACAAATTTTTGGGGAAAAAAAGGGCTCAATCTTCTGTGACATGGTCATACAAGGGTTTTGTTCAAAAAAAGCAGTTACTAAACCCCATCGTCTCAAAAAAGAAAGGTCTAAATAGAGTTTGACATTGTAGTCAATACGCATATCGTGGAGAACATGATCCAAAGTAGTATAAATTTAATATGCGACATTTCTATAACAGTATAACTCAATATAGCCAGATTACTACCAAATCAGGAACTAAGGGGAAGAGTGCTCCTGAGATGCCCAAAGAAGTACAATCTGCTGGAGTTCCTGCAGAGAACATAAAGTATTGAAATTATGTCTAAAAATTGACTAACATCTTTCATTATCACGTACTAATATCAAGGTGAAACTGAAGATTGTAATGCATTGTTCTACACTTCAGGAATGATCATCCTCAAATTTCTAAACATTTATGAAATTAAAATTGCCAATTATCTGCTAGGAAATAAAAGGTAAGAAAAACAATAATAAAATAAATAAAAGCAAACCAGAAACAGCATAAGCTGTTGCTCCATCGATATCTACTTGCTTTACAGAAACAGGGTGACGCCATGTGATACTATGACTAACAGCTGATTTCTCCCTGAAAAAAAACAAGGAAAATTTTATACAACAATGACCACGACGATCCCACTACTTACAGAAACTGCCACTAACTTTCATCGAACAGTTTGAACTGTGATAATAAAAACAGAACAGAACTCAAAATAAAAGTACGATCAGCCAAGTATCTACGCATATACGTACAAATATAACGTATATACATGTACATACTTACACAGTTATGTACATATAGAAAATATTGAGGAAATGTAGTAGTAACGTACGAATCAGGAGCGCAAACGAGGACGCGAAAACGATTGGAGGAGACGAGGACGCGGACGAGAGAGCGGAGGCCTGGCGCGTCGATTCCGTCGTCGTTTGTGACCATCACGGTCGGCTTCTGATCGTAGCTATTAGTATTATTCTCCATTTCCGTCGTACCAAAAGGGAAAAAAACGAGTGACAGAGTGAGAGACGGCAACTAAAGTAAAGATGTTCCAAATTGTTAGCTAAATGCTTGTTTATTTATAGCTGACGGGCATTTAGAGAGAAAGCGCACGCTTTGAGCACGCGACACGAGGTAAGATTGATAGGGAGGATATGCCCCATTAAAAAATTTGGACAAGTGCGAAATTAAGAATATGCTTATTAGATATTTGTGTTCAAAGTAAGTATTTACGGACACAAAAAGAATAATTAAATAATACAAATCTTTTGTACCTTGATCATTGAAGAGAAAATGATGCCAAACTCTTTATGTTTTTAATTTTTTTTTATTTTTAGTTGGGAAGACCATTTATGTATTTATTTAAATTTTAAATTTTAAAAATTTAAACCTCCATCAAGAGTTGAAATAGAAACTTAAATATAAATTTAGAGAGGTTTCGAATATCACTTTTAGGATACTTTAAACTAGAACCCGATTATCCACAATTTTACAAAATTTTAAATTTTGTGAGATTTAAACTTTTCTACTCTTTAGAGTAAGACAATTTTTATCATCTCAAACCAATTTACTTTTTATAAATTAAAAAATAAAATATTAATTTATATTAATTAGATTATGATGCAAACTTAAATATGTAAAATTTTATTACTAATAAGCATGGAACTCAAAAAAGAATGAAAAACACTTCAAGTTTTTACCAATTTTTTCAATTTAACAAGTATTTTAAATGATTTGGATAATTAATGGATGATCCTTTACTATCAGTATTTGATTTTTTATAGTGTTTTGTAATTTTTTGTTAATTTTAATAAAATTTGAATATCTTAATAGCTAAACAGTTTCATATGGGATACTTAAAAAATAAGGAATACTCTACCTATTTACATCTTTAGGTTGAAATTAATTTGATTGGAGATTTCAATTGGGCCAGAGATGGTTCATCTGAAAGGCCCAGTCCATGGTCCAGTATGTTAGATGGGTTGGTGAATGGTCCAGTTCATACACTGTTCTATTTAACAAGTTCAAATGTTAAATTTGATAATATATTAAAGTAACAAAAGTTGTATTAGTGTCTAAATCATCAGTAGAAAATTGTGGTAACTGTATTTGCTCTATGGTTTGTCTGGGTGTCAGTGTGGATTGTGGTTTTAGCAAAGAAAACGAAATGATTTGTATTTTAATTATATAATTAAACAAACTGTTTAATGAATATTTATTGGGTTAGAGTCTAGGTTGAGTAAATCAATTTTTTTTTTAATTAAAATTTGTTTTTCCTTGTGGAGGGTTGCCGAGGTTCACGTTTGGAAATAGGCTCGAAGACGATGCTAGCCTGTGAGAATGTCAGTTGATTAGCTTTATCCTTAATTAATTAATTAATTAATTAACTATCAATCAAGCCTCTTATTAAAGATTTTTCTTATTTAATTAAAAACATTAGTATTCTGTCGCAACATTGTTGCGAGACAATTTTTTTATTTTAATTATTTTTAAATTAGTATGTTATTTATAAAATTAGTAAGAGAAAAATTAAACTTTAAACTTCAACTTTTTTAAAGAATAACACTTGCTTAAGTTTTAATTGTAATTACGGCCTTACACGAAGAGTAAAAAAACTTTTGAAGTTATAAATACTAATAACTTGTAATCATAGAAAAAGATATTCATACATGTGTTTATGTATTATGAAACACGTCTCATGTGTTTTAAATTAAAAATATTACATAAATATTTATCAAATTATCATTATATGTTTTGGAGTAATTTGAAGGAGAAAGACTAGAATTAAAGGAACTTGGTTAGAATATGGTTTAGGATTAGACTGTGCAACGTCATTTGAGTGGAACTCAACAATGGGGAATTCATGCTAGACCAGAATAGAATACATTTGAAGTGTTTGTGCAATCACTTTCAGGGTATAAAAAGCATATTTTTCTTGTTCCAGGATCGAACAAAAAAAATCTCATTCGATGAGCAAATTGTTAACGGAATATTTGCTACTTGCCTTTCAAGAATAATATGCCCCTATCGATTCAAAGTAGAATTCTGCACGCAATTTCCCTCCTAAGACTTCAGCTGGCGTAGAAAGGGAGAAGACATGGCAAAAGTGGTGTTGTATCTTCTGAACTAAAGCCAAGGTGAAGAAACCAAGACAATTATATAAATGAACGAAGGGAAGATTATATAAGAGTTTAATTCCGAAATAATCATGTTTTTCTTTCAAGACAAAGAAAAAAATTTAATTTTAAATGTTTTCCCACTGTGTATAGAGTGAGTGTGTCTAGAGAGAGGGTAGCTAGAGACCAAAAAATTAGGCCAAAGCCATGAGCGCCCCCATGTTCTTCCAAAGCACGTGAGGAATACATTGATTTTCTTTTCATGTGCAGTGTCGGAGTTCGTTCCTCTGTTCTTATCTTTCCAGACCATGTACACCACATATACTTTAAAATCATATCATTTTTGGATCCAATCTTGCAGGCAGATGCATTAAAAGCCAGGCGAGACGTAACAAAATGATTGTAAACAAAGATGAATTCAAAGTTTTTTTTTAATGATGTTATAATTAAAATAATAATAATAATTTTTTAAAAATTTTTATTTAAGATTTGCTGTAAAGGTATTTAGATTAAATTTAACACAATTTTACTTAAAAAATTATTAAGTATCATCATTAGTAGGATTGTGTTATTATTGTCCAAAACCTGAATCTTGTGAAACAATTTTTTATATTTTAAAATATCATTTCATAACTTATTTATCAAAAAACCTATTAAAAATTACTCCTCACCTTTTATTAACATAAATTAAAATATTAAAATTAAATAAAATATCATTTTGTATAACAAATTATCGGATTCAACAACTAATAATTTGATAAATTTTTATTCATTGATCAAAATCAAATATAAGCATCCATAAATCATATAAAATTAAATACAAAAATCAAATGATCAAACAATCTATCTACAAAATAAATAAAAAAACTCATAATTTCAAAATATCATTTGACATAAAATACTATTTTTCTATTGGCTAGATTTTGTTTGAATTCCAAACTATCAAATTAATTAAAAAATATTTAAACACGAAGTGTTTAAAAACTTAATTTTGATTAAAAATTATTTACAATTGAAATTTAAGTGAATTGTTTTAAGATGGTGAAAAGACGCAAAGGATTGAAGAGAGGAAGCGTTACTATAAGTTTTAAGAGTCACATTTAAATTTTTTTAAAAGAAGAGTAATTTAAGTTTTGATTTTTTTAATAAAATTTTAAATTATTAAAAAAAATTATATCTTTCTTTATAGTATTTAAATGTTAATACATAAGTTATATAAATTTAATATGATTTGAAGTCTTTAATCCCACTCTCTACAAAATTATAAAAAATTAATAGGTTTATTTACATCTTCAATTACCTAACACTTTAGCTAAGTAGTATATAAAGAAAACATTTTAATAAATGACTTTGAAGGTAGAGTCTTTGATAAGACCAAATTTCATAAGGAGATGGATACCCTCATTTGTGGGCATCTCTTACCAAGGCTACACACCTAATGCCCCCAGGAACTTTACTTAAATGGTAAGTCGTCCATCTTGACTGTATCAATGGCTTTGCTGAGCTCGAATTAATTTTATTTTATATTTTTCCTAGGTACTAATCTTGAATGCTGTGCTGGTGTACGAGATATGACGCATGATGCTGCATGCGTGCTTTTAACTATGTCATTGTGAAGAAATGTGACGCAAATTAAGGAAGGTTAGGAATGAACAACACAACATGCAAACACATAAGAAAAGGGCTGCATCTCTCAGGCCTTCATAAATCATTCATAATTATTCTTTCCCCCTTTCCCAAGCTGGCTAATGCCACATGTCCATTACGAAGTATAATTGCTCTATCTCAATTTAGGGCAAGCCATTCGCATCAAACTCGATCGTTTTTCGCGTGACTTGGTTCCATTAGCAGACATGAAATTGGACTATAATTATATGAACTCAATTGTTTAGAAATTTCTTTGAGATTCATGTATTTAGTGGCGAATTCAGAATTTTGAATAAATAACAATAATAATATGTATAAGAATTAATATCTATGATAATAAAAGAAATTAAAAATTGAACGGTGGCTGTTGCCACCTCATGCTATCCCCTTGGGTTTGTCCCTACATGTATTTGTATGCCAAAAAGTACAAGCAGAAGACTTGAAATATATCTTAACTGCCCAACCACCACTCAAAAATACAAGGCAGCAGCTAGTTGGAGAAATCAATGGCGTACGTAAAGCTTGACCTGTATTGGCCCATGGAGTTTCATTGATATCTCTTTATGAAAGTGCTACTATTAACTAGTTAATCCATCATTCGAAAGGTTTAAGTAATTCATAAGAAATTGCATAATTTAATTTAGTTTTAATGATTTCAAATTTATATGCATATATATATCATACCTAAACTTTAATTATAAATCACGACAAATCAAGTAACAAATTAATTTTCTCTGTATATCGTTCAATGGATGCCCCCCAAGGGACTATATGAGGAATGCTGTACCTGTATACAAATGCATCGTAGAGTGAAATGCTCCTGCCTCTATTTTTGTATACCATCCTCTTTTATTTTCCTCTTTACTCTTGCGTAATGCTAAGTCAATAACCTCCTAACCATCTCAAAGGATTGGATGTCCCTCGTTTACTTTGTTTAAACTCATGTACATTAAGTTTTAATTTTGTTGGAAAGAACTAAGACTTTAGAATGATTACCGATAAGAGTAAAAATTTTACTATACCTAAAATAGTAATTAAATTCTTTTTTTTTTTGAAAACTAAAAGTAATTAAATACAAAGCTCGTGAATTTCTATTTACACTGCTGAATTAGTGGGTACAAAATATGAATTAAATGTTAATAATTTCTTAAATTATGTACATATTACATGGTTCATATTTCTTCAACCAATGAGATGCAACACCCTCTCGTGTCTAATAGTATTATAGGATGACCAATTGTCAAATGAAACACAACATGTACTACCTAAAAGGCCTTATAGTGGGAACGTTAGCTTAGATTGTAAG